TGGAGGGAGAGTCCCCCTCCCTACAGGAAGCCACGACCACGTGTGTCAGCAGGGCAACTGGCCGCGGCTCCTGTTCGTCACCTGATGTGGAGTTCACGAAGGGAAGCAAAATTTTGCTAACGGTGCTGTTCGTGACCCGAATTGGTCATGAACAGAAGCGTTCGTGACCCGAGGTACCACTGTATCTTATAATATGGATGGGAAAAACTGTAGTCCTCCAGATCTTATTAATCCACAGTTCCCCCATAGCCCACAGAGAGTGCCCAAGGGTGAGGGGTGCTGGGAATTGTAGTTCACAGGATCTGGAAGCCATGCCAGTCTTCCATTAGATATACTAGAGGGTATGCCCCCAACCTACCAGCGATCTGCCTTTCATTCCTATCTGATGGCATCCAGATTTGCCATTTGATTTGCTTCTACAGAAAACTCCATCTCTTTGAAATAATTAAAGTCAATGAATGAATCAAAACAATGCACCGTGAACTGAATGTAAACTAAACTATGGATATTAGATGGCAAATTGGAGCATGGTAACTGCTCCAATTTGGTTTTTAATGGGCATTCCTGCTATTTTAGTTAGAATTAAAAACCTGCTTTGATTTCCATGTTATTGCAACCAGAGCTGAACAATAGCACTGTGATTATCTACATGTTTCCTCAGAAGTCATTCTTTTGGGTTCAGTGGAATTTACCCCTGGTTAATCTTTAGAGATTTATACTCTCACAACATTCTTCTTCTTTCTCCTCTAAGAGATGCAAATCTCCATGAATCCTAAGGCATTATTCAATATTCTTTTAATCTGTAGAATTCTGTCTGCAGCAACAGCACTGACTTTCAGTGAGAGTTGCAAAGGACTTTGTGGGTGATTGGAACTCCACTGTGCAATATTTGGATCCAAAGGATGCAAGGATGTATCAGATCCTGTGTCAGCACCCTCTCAGGGTCTTTGTGGGAGAATATGGCAACATGGCACACATAAAATGGGGACAAGACTTCCATCCCACGGGCACCGCCATCTTAACTTTTCTGACTTCCCCCCTTGTGGACACACCTCTGTTCTCTTTACTTGGCATCTATTCCTCAAAGATGAGCATGAACGTGAGCAAACTCAGGGAGGCAGTGAAGGACAGGAAGGCCTGGCGCAATATGGTTCACGGGGTCACAAAGAGTCGGACACAACTTAACAACTGAACAACAACAAAATTCCTCAAAGATGTGCTTTTTCCTGGACTCACATGGTAGTTGTTCTATTGCTAGGCTACACAATTAGGGGTAAGCAACATTTTTGTAACTGGGGAGAGAGGTTTTTATTGTTAGGGGCCTGCAAAGACAATAGATGACATGACCAGGCATGAAGTGAGCTCACCAATTTGGGATTCAAGTAGTAAAAGAGGTGACTTAAGCCTCAAAGAGATTTTACATACTCTGCCCCTTATTTTGTCAATAAAAACAAGATTGTTGGCCATATCTCAGTGTGCTCTCGGGGAGTACAAAAATTGGGGAGGGGGCTTTCTACAAGTTGCCTCTACCTGCTCCCTACTCATATTGCATCAAAATCCACTCTCAAATTTCTCAAAAGCTTGGTTTCTCTGAAAAAGGCATCTTATTTTTTAAAATACTTTTGAAAGTGTTTTAGCATTTCTTTAGAACTTTTTCCAGTGAGTTTATGGGGGTGAAGAGAGACTTGATTGTTGTGAGGGAAGAGATGGTGCTCCAGTGTGTGTGTGTATATGTTTTATCTCTCCATCATTCTACTGATCTCTGAAAAAATGAGCATACCATGAAAGACAAGGTGCTGGCCAGGTTTGCAGACTGTGTTAAACCATGGTTTATTGTATAAAGCAGAATTAGTTGAGTTCACGCCACATCCTAAGGGAAAACCATACAAATCCCATGGTTGGCTTAGCATAGTATGTGAATCACACACACTTCTCATCCACCTCATATCCAGAGAAAGTGCCAGGAAGCCCACCATCTTTAGAACTTTCCTGAAACTTTCTTCTCCTATGAAAACAAAAAAGCAATTGGTTTCCCCTCAGATGGAAGCTGACTATCCAAATATACATGCAAACATCTACAGAGAATAAAAATTCAACCCAAAGACTTCTTCCGCCTTTTCATCTATTCTATTAATCAGAATAGCAGCACCACAAGTTTGACAATCAGCCACAAGTGGCATGACATCTTCCTTCCATTTTAGTTACATACTCACATCCTGAGCCAGACCCCGAATAGAAGTCCTCCATTTCCTCTATTTCTTCATCTTCAAAGGAGTCGTCATCCCCAGAGCCTTCCATGTCAATGGGCCGTTCAAAGTTTTCATTCCGCCACTGCTGAGCCTAGAAGATCAAAGGTGCCGAGAAATAAATGTATTATTCACATGAACCTGATATCAGCAACTTTCTGCAGAGCAGCCTAAATGGTTTGAAGCCTAGATGAAGAGCCACCACGGGATGGATTAGGGCCATGGGCTACAGATCCCTTATCCAGGACCGGGCTACTTTTTCTCAAGGGAACTCAATATCCTTTCACTTGCCATCTTCTGTACTTACTAGACTGCATTCCCATAAATCCGAAGCAGCACAATTCTTTGGCAATGAAGCATTCTTATCTTCAGCATGAATTTCATAAAATCAACTAATACTGATTGTCAAAGTCAAGCAGCTTGCAACAGGCCACTCGTCTCTGTGTCATTTATTATATATTTTCCCCTTGAGAAAAAGTGATAAAAATAGATGGAAAAGACACTGGGAACTGATAGTTGCTCATTCTAGGTGTGGTGGCTATTTTCCTGTTTTTAGAACTCTGCTGAAAACATTTTTATAAAAAAACGGTTTAAAAAAACCTGGAAAGCATGTTATAATTAATTTTTGCCAGGATAAAGCGTTGCTGGTTTAATGGTGCAGAACTATTTATAAACTGCTTTAATGGGGTTTCAAGCCCTTGCAGATTTGCATTAGCAGAATGTTCTTCTGCCCTTACAAGGGACCATATTTTTGTTAATCCCCACTTCATCTAGTGCCACAGATTTTTATATCAGTAGCATATTTTTTTCTCAGAACTCAGTCCAAGGACCTAGGAAGGGAAGCAGCACGATGTGTGCATTTAGAAGTAAAGATATGCAGTTCTTCACTGGAAAAGTTCAACAACAGCAGAAATACTAGAAGCAATTCTTGCATGCTTAGCAGGAAAAAAAGTCTGAAATCTGCACCAGGGAATCTTGCCCTATCAGAATTCAAATGAATTCTGCAAGCATCACCATCTGAATATGCTTACACAAGCAACTGCCTTGCATAAACCAGAGTGCCGTAATAGTTAAGGTGTTACTGGAACTGGGAAGACCCTCCTTCTCCATCTACCATCAGCCACAAAAGCTCACTAGGTGACTTTGGGCCAGTCATACCTCTCTTTTATATAATTGTTATTAAAGATTTTTTAAAAGGAAGATAAGAATTAATGGAAACTAATATAAAGTAAGAAAATGAAAAGAAAAAGAAAGAAATCAAAGAGGTAGCTAAAAGTGCAAGAAAGGAATAAAGGAAAAGAAAAATAGAAAAGAAAGAAAAAAGATACAACGAAGTAGCTTCCAATCTTCTTTACAGCAGTTATAAGTACAATTATAAATTTACCACTTACTCCATAACTCTCTTCTTTCTATAATCTATCCTGTCTATTCATCAAAACCATAAATCATAAATTCATTTCTTCTGTTTCACACAAGAAGTCCATAAGGAGTTTCCAGTAATAAAACTAGAATAAGTAAACAGAGATACTGTCTTTTCTTTGATCAATAAACATAGATATTGTCTTTTCTCTGATCAAAGAAGTCAGTTTAGCCATCTCAGCAAGTTCCATCACCTTCACCAACCATTCCTCCATTGTAGGTAGTGCAGAATCTTTCCATTCTTGTGCCTACAAGAATCTCACTGCAGTTATCATGTACAAAAACAAAGTTCCATGACTTTTTTCCAACTGTTATCAATCCCAAAAGAAAAACCTCTGGTCCCAAAGGTATATTAATCTTTAAAATCCTCTGAATCAGTGGCCAGTCATATATCTCAATCATCTACCCCACAGGATTACGGTTACTGTTGTGTATGTTGTTTTGAGTTCCTGCAGGGTGTAAATCTAACAAATAAATAAGCAAACACAGGTTGCTGGTGCACCTAACCTAATACAGCCTGCTCTGACTGGCAGCATTTATTAAGGGCAACCTTCCAAAATTTTTCAAAAACTAGGTCCCATCCAATCCTGGCTATTTGCTATGCTTGTTGGAGTAGGCAGAAACCAGAGTCACAAATGTCTGGAGGACATCACATTGTTGAAGGTTACTCAGGCCACATAGAAAAGTTAGGCATAAGTGACGCAGTAGCTGGGTCAATGAATGAATGAAACACTGGAGAAAGGTTGGAAGTACCCAAACAGGAAATGCATTCCTAAGCTGTCAAAATTCAGGGAATCACCAAGCACTGTAATCACCAAGCACTGTTTGACTGCAGATGTACTGTATCGCTCATATTTCACATTTCAAAGCTGGGACTCATCTAACAGCAAGAGCATCAGTAATTTTACTAAGCCACAATAGCCAACAAGCACTGGAATTGGGTATCTGAATTATCCCTATTTAAACTTAAATGGCACTGGGATTTTGCCAGTAAATAATTCAAAGGGAAAATGAAAAGCTGCAGTCCATCAGTGCCAAGAAGTCAGTCCAATGTCTGGTCATCCTTCCAACAATCTCACCTGGCCATCAACCAGGAAAACTGGTTGTGCTGGCAGACACTGAAGCACCATCAAACTAAAATATTTATGGCTTGGGAGCATGTAAACAGGAAGATGCCGACATTGCACTGTTCAAAGCAAAGGAAAGGCAAGGGGACAAAGAAAGGTTTGCTCTTAGAGAATCTCAAGAGCAGTGTTTTCCAAACTTGGCAACTTTAAGATGTGTGAACTTTAACTCCCAGAATTCCCCAGCCAATTCTGGGGAGTTCTGGGAGTTGAAGTCCACACATCATAAAGTAGCCAAGTTTGAAAAACACTGCTCTAGAGCCTATGAGAAACCAGTTCCTATCCTAAACATCTCCACTGGGATACCATGTAAGAGATTATAAATTCACCTAATGAAAACCACCAAGCATTCTTCCTGTTTATTCATTTGAGCAATGCATGTTTCTATAAATTGCACAGCTTCAACATGAGGCAAGTTCAGAAGCCATCCTTCATATCAAATGATGTGTTTAGTCTTCAGATACTCAATAAATAATCACATAATGAGACATTACACAAGTCTCTCTCTTTTCCCCCTGACATCACTCTGTATTTATAATGCATTTTCCTGGCAAGAGTCTTCCAAGATTTCAAGCTGAACTTTTTGGAGCCCTTGTTGGAGGTCCCAGAATGTGGGATATTCTGCACACAAAACAATGGGCTACCCTTAAACTATAGTCCTTCCTCATTTCTCAGAGCAGTAATGGCAATTTTCCAAAGGTCATTTCCCAAAGCTACTGTAGACAATTTTCTGGACTGTGCCCAATTTTTTTTGTTAGGAGTATTTTCAGTTCTAAGGCAGGAGTGAGGAGCAAAGTCTGGAATGAGTTTTGAGAGTTGGCAAAACCCACAGGTCTAACCATCTATCAAAAATATCCACCAACACTGTGATTGGTGGGTGGTTTCTCCCTGGCTGGTAACTTCTGGCAAGTGGAAGTATATTTGTTGTCTCTGGACTATCTGTGGAAGCTAGTGATGTGCAGTACATTTATCCATTATTTTACCTCTCAGGCCTTTTAAGATAGAAACCCTTTTGTTAGATGGTATGACAAAAGCTAGAGATAATCAATCTATCGGTAGTGCTGATAAAAATAAGCCTAAGTCAATACAGTATGACACAAGTTACATAAAATGATAGAGTTATATCTTGTTCCACATTAACCTCAATGAAATTGTTGGGTTTTTTTCTCAAGGGAGATCACACAAACCCATTTATCATTTTGGGGGGCTGTGTAACGTTGGCACAAACGTTATAAACTCCTGCTCTAAGTGGGCACAGCAAAATCACCAGCATGGTGTTTAGCCAACATTTTCAACATTTTTGATTCCAGAAAGTTGAGGTTGTCTGGTTAATTATTTAATTGATTTATACAGCTACCCATCTCACAATTGTGACTCTGGGTGGTAAGCACAGGACTAAAACCAACAAAAGCAAAAACAAGTAATAGTAATAACAACACAATAATAATATAATGGCACCCAAGGACAATCTGACCCAGTCCATACAAACATAAATCATATAAAAGAAATCACATCAATGGGTTTACCCAACCTCAAGACTCCTTGCCCAAGGGAATATTCAGGTTTCCAAAGATTTACAAATTGCCAGCAGGGCTGGGGCTAAGTGCATCTTAGGAGATATGGTGTTCCAAAGAGCAGGCACTGCAACAGAGGTATTTTTAATACCAAAGAAATGTATTTGGCTACCCAGAGGCTTATTAATACAATCAAAAATAGCTATCAACTCTACATGGGATAAGATACTGTAGATATGCCCCATTTCAGTATATTTTTGGATCAGAATGAGCAACTCCTAACATTTCTCCAGCACCCAGGCATTCAATAATTACCAGTTCCCAGCCTTCTGCAATCTGGTTCCCTAAAGGTTTGTTGAATGACAGCTCCTATTACTCTTAATTGACCATGTTGACTGGGAATAATGAGGCTTATAGCCAAACTCATTTGGAATGAACCAATTTGAGAAAGAATGTGATTAGGATGTGCTGTACTTTCCCAAGAACTGCTCCTGGGTGGATCCATCTTGACCCAGGTTTGGTGCAGACCTGTTGAAATCAATGGCAAATCCCATAGTTTTTTCCCCCTAAGAACAACTAAGCTACATCCAGCCCACTGTAGTTTTGCAAAGAAAAGAATGTCATAATCCCTATCAAACTTGATAACAAACCAAACTAGTCTTAGCAGATTTTATTTTATTTTATTTTATTTTATTTGCCAATGTAGCGAAACTCAGAAAAGCCCAATCAAGGTATATTGATAGAAGTAGACTGTAAGACCCAGTTAGAAGAACTGAGGAATCCTGCTGGGATACTATTCTAATAGTCACTGACATGACAACAGTAACCATAGTAACCGTTTCCTCCATCCTAATGCCTGTGCTCTCCTCTCTCTTTCTGGGCTGCAGAGGAAGGCAAGGAGATTGATATGAAGGAACATCATTTGGAAGTCAGAGATATTCTCCAATTCTTTGATGTCAACTGTGTGACCTTGGCCATCCAACTTAGTTCTTCCAGGTAGTCAGCTCTGGCTGGTTTCACTTTGATGTAATACAAACCTGTAAATACCTCCAAGGGAGGGCAGACTGTATTTTAAATAGCAACCATGCAATCAAATGAATATTAAAAAAACAAAATGAAACGGTAGCCCACATAGCCGAACAACTTGACAGCAATCAGATCCAGGTGTGTGTGGATATTTTGACAGCACAAATTGTATATTCTATCTCTTCAACACCTTCCTAGCTTTTGGCTATTTTAAGAAATTATGGTACCCCAACATCCTATGCATTAGAGTGCTTCACAGATCCAGAATATCCTACATAAGAATGACTAGTGTTCTGGTTTGTGAGCTGGGTCTATTGACTGTCTAATTTGCTAGACATTTTTTATGTTGTCCTCAAAGTCTTCTCTGCCCTTCTGTCATTGTTTTCCAGTTATAAAATTTGCCTTCCAATAGGGCACACATGGTTTTCCCCTACAAAAGAACCATTTCTATTTAAAGGAAAGAAAATACAAATAGCCCTTGCAAAAATTATGCAAATTCAATTGCATAAATAGAAAAAACACACAAAATTCTCCCCATCCAAAATTCTCCCAGATTTAGGGGTTCAGAAAAACCAGATCTTATTCCCAAGGTTGCTCCGTTATTGGCATAACCTTGTTTTGTTAGTGTTGGAATTGAGAAACACACACCTGAAATTAAACAAATTAAGTCCATGGTATAAGCATATATGCAAGATTAATTGAAAAGTAAATTAATTTTCTTAATTATCTTTCGCCAATAATCAAATTTGTAAAGATCAGACCAATAAAAATTGTTTGCTTTTTGTCTGTGTGTATGTGAGTGCGACTGCAAACCCAACTATATGCTTAGTTTATGTTTCTATATATTGTATGCACTCAGAAGCCACAAATATTAAGAACTTCACAGAGGACAAAAATAATTGATTTGGAAGTTAGACTTCCCTTCAAGAGCATCCATGGGGAGAGGGGGTGTTAAAAAAAAAAAGACAACGTTGTGACTACCACCACACAGTCACAACCCCACCCAGTTTATATGTGTGTCACCAAGTGGCAATCTTGGTGTGTTGATCCCAAACAAGCCAGGATTTGTAAACCAACATCAAATCCAAGCTTGTGTTCCTAGCTCATAAATAGAGCAACAAGCCAGAATCTTCACATCAGTTTGCACACTAACCAAACAAACCTTGATTTGTTTGGCTATGCTGCTGGGAAAGGAACAAAATGAGTTTCCACTAACAAAATCAAAGCAGAAATTCAACAGCAAGAGTTGTATTCAGGGGTATGAGTATTTTGTTTTGTTTTTTGACGAAATATACTAAAACTGGTATGTTAAACCTCTGTTAAGCTTAACACACTAATTTCCCTCAACTCCCTAAGCCCACTCCAATACAAAATGCTTCTGTGACATCCCTGCTTTGAGGCGAAAAAACCTTAAGTGTGACCTTGGACCAAGAAAAAGTATCAGCCCTTGTCATATGACGAAAGCAACTGGTCTAAAAAGAGCATCTCCTTTTTAAAAAATGCTGGGAAAAAACAAGTATTAGAAAAGCAACTTTTAAACCAGGATATAAATAAAATGGACATAAATAGATAAAATGTGTTCATACGCTCTTAAATTTCTCAGGATTTATTCAGGCGTAATATAAAATGCTCATCACATGCCTGTTAGCAACACGCTATTTCCAAACTGGCTCAGCTCTGCCTTCAGGGAAGAGATGTAAAAACACCCCTCCCCTCCCCACCTCTCCAGCCCCAGCTTTAAAGCTGGATGGGGCATTCCAAGCAAGGCACTCGTCTCTTGGCATAAATTGCATCAGTCTGATCTGAGATTTATCCCCAGCTCTGAGATTGGAATGTTGGATTACCATGAGCAATTCATTTCCCCAAGGATCTCATTTTGTGTCTGCGTTTCTAAAAAAACAATAATAGTAATAATAAAATGCCCTTCACCCTGCCTATCTTCACACTTAGGATTCCACTTTCAAAAACACAACCCTGCTAGTTGGCAGAAGATGTTTGCATGGAAACACCGAGCTATTTATTTTAACAAGGTATGCCCACCTTTTGATTGAAGCCATTACTGTGGCAAATTGCAATCAATTAAAAGAAAATGAGAATCAAACGGTTTTCATTTGAATAAGCAACAGAGCTTCAGCAGATAAACTGATGAACTTTCATCTTCCCCTACTTCCATTCATTCTATTGTCTTCTGTCTGGCTTACAATACCTGCATTCGTTTCAGGACTTCTCAAGCGAGGAGAATCGAGCATGGCACAATCTCACGCTGCTGATTGCTCTTGAAATTAGCCTGTGCCATGACTGTTAACCAACTTGCAAGGGCAAGCACACAACTGTGCGAGCAGCGATTTTGGAGATGGTGCGTTTGCTCATGGACAGCAATGGGGGCTCTTGGCAGAGAAATGTTCATGCCAGACAATCAATGTCCTTGTCTAAGAAAAAAGGTTACTTCTGTCACCATACCCTGCT